GGGGTTTCACCATGTTGGCCAGGATGGTCTCAATCTCCTGACCTCTCATGATCCGCCTGCCTCGGCCTCCCGAAGTGCTGGGATTTCAAGTGTGAGCCACCACGCCCGGCCCTCTTTGACTGTCCAAGGTGATTTAATATCTCATAATTTCTACCATCTAGCGTCTTTCTAACTACCCTTCTCAAGACCCCAGTCTTCTACTCCATCTAATCATATCTTTCTCTTCCTTTAGGCAGTCCCCAGCCTCCAGGAGTCTTGTTCATTTCTTTGGAAGAGCAGCTTAGCTCTCTGCCTCACCGCACAATGCCGGAGTACCTTCCCTCAGAGCTAACATTTCATCAGGAAGCAGCATCAAACACAGCCTCTGCCTAACACTGCCTGCAGCACAAGGCCCAGCAAAAGCTCTTAACCCAGTGTCCTTGAATACGATTCATTTTCTTGGGCAAGGTGCTCTCCTCCAGCAGCATCTGTGAGCAGGAGAGATTACTATCTTCAGATCTAAACCCTGCCATCTTCCTCAGGAGGCACAACTGCCTATTCGCTTCTTCTAGAAGGGGTGAAGTTACCAATGTGAACTTACAGATTTGTCCTAATAAAATGTTGCTTTTAGCTCTTTAATATATAGGGATCCCATGTTGGAGTTTACTAGAAATACAGGGTTCAGTCACTAAAAAAACAGTTAGCAACCACTGACTTGGGGCTTTTCTGTTTGCTCCCTGCTAGTCAGAAGGAAGACAGTTTGTCCTATTTTCTTTTCTTTTTTTTTTTAATGAGACAGAGTTTCACTCTTGTCGCCCAGGCTGGAGTGCATGGTGTGATCTCGGCTCACTGCAACCTCTGCCTCCCAGGTTTAAGCAATTCTCCTGCCTTAGCCTCCCCAGTAGCTGGGATTACAGGCATGTACCACCACTCCCAGCTAATTTTTGTATTTTTAGTAGAGATGGGATTTTACCATGTTGGCCAGGCTGGTCTCGAACTCCTGACCTCAGGTGATCCACCCACCTCAGCCTCCTAAAGTGCTAGGATTACAGGCGTGAGCCACCGTACTTGGCGTTATTTTCCTTTTGAACCACAAAGATCCTTTCTTTCTTCAGTATTTATTCAATTAACTTACTTTCTCTCATACTCCAAAACTAGCAGAATGTTTACATCCTGACATCTGAGGACACAAGACCCTCTCATCTTAATTTCTCTTAATCATAGCAGATTTTTACATTCTCTTTCTAATATAAATGCGTTCATGCGTTACAGCTGCTGATTTTATAATTACCAACGAATTGGTTTTGGATGCAAGGAGACATTTTCTTCAAGTCATAGCATTTAGAACAGTCAACTGACCAGAATTTTAACGAGGTGATATTATGGTACATATTTATTTATATAACTAAAACAACAAACTTAGATTTTAGATATTTTCCCTTAAAATGAACCCAACTTTCAACTGCTTTAGAAGAATATGTTGATATATTTCATTATGAATATACAAACTTGTATATAAAGAAATCCCTAACTAAATGGTTGAAACTATTTCCTTTAATTTAATTTTATTATTTTATTTTGAGACGGAGTCTCACTCTGTTACCCAGGCTGGTGTGCAGTGGCATGATCTCAGCTCACTGCAAGCTCCGCCTCCTGGGTTCAAGTGCTTCTCTTGCCTCAGCCTCCTTAGTAGCTGGGACTACAGGTGTTCACCACCACCTCCGGCAAATTTTTGTATTTTTAGTAGAGACGGGGGTTTCGCCACGTTGGTCAGCCCGGTCTTGAACTCCTGACCTCGAGTGATCCCTGCCCCCACCTTGGCCTTCCAAAGTGCTGGGATTATAAGCGTGAGCCACTGCGCCCGGCCGGAACTATTTCCTTTAGGCCAACCTGAAAAACTGAGGTTGGCATAATGATAATGGTTGAGCTCTCAAAAAAATAAATAAAAGCATTTAACAACCTACATGATCTTCAGTATATAGTAGCAATGAGTATTAATTCTGAAATTGTATCTTGAAGATTTCTAAAAAATGCAATCTTGAGAAATAAATTACAGAAAAAAAGAAACTCTTCAAAACACAAATTTTTAAAAATGACACTAGACTGTAAGCTCCACAGGGCAGGGATTTTTGTCACTTCTGCGCTCTGCTAGATCTCCAGCACCTAGAAAAGGGTCTGGCACATGGTAGGTGCTCAGTAAATACATGGTGAATGAATATATATATATATTTTTGAGACGGAGTCTCGCACTGACGCCCGGGCTGGAGTGCAGTGGTGCGATCTCGGCTCACCGCAACCTCTGCCTCCCAGGTTCAAGCGATTCTCCTGCCTCAGCCTCCAGAGTAGCTGGGATTACACGTGCCGGCCACCATGCCCAGCTAATTTTTTGTATTTTTAGTAGAGACGGGGTTTCACTATGTTGGCCAGGCTGGTTTTGAATGCCTGACCTCGTGATCCACCCACTTTGGCCTCCCAAAGTGCTGGAATTACAGGAGTGAACTACTGCGCCCGGCTGGTGAATGAACACTTTCAACAATAAAGTTTGATTAAAAATTTAAGAAATTACAGGTGCCCTCGATAGGCAATCGATCAACTGGAAACTAAAAAGCCAGATAATTTTGCATCTTAAATTGACCCTGAAACAAATTGAGTAAGTCCAGTTTTTCTTTTCCATTTACAACTGGTTATTGGTTTAAAAAGCAGCCACTTCCCAGCGGCCTTTGCGGGAACAAGATGGCAGCCCCCATACCTCAAGGCCAGTTCTGGTGACTCAGTCCTCAGCTATAGTTCCAGTAAGAACTAAAAAACATTTCACACCTCCTGTTTATCAACCTAAATTTAAAACAGAAAAAGAGTTTATGGAACATGCCTGGAAAGCAGGATTGGTTATTCCTCCAGAAAAATCGGACCGTTCCATACATCTGGCCTGTACAGCTGGTATATTTGATGCCTATGTTCCTCCTGAGGGTGATGCACGCATATCATCTCTTTCAAAGGAGGGACTGATACACAGAACTGAAGGAATGAAGAAGACTATGGCATCGCAAATGTCAATCCAGAGGATAAAAGACTATGATGCCAATTTTAAAATAAAGGACTTCCCTGAAAAAGCTAAGGATATATTTATTGAAGCTCACCTTTGTCTCAACAACTCAGACCATGACTGACTTCATACCTTGGTAACTGAACACTGTTTTCCAGACATGACCTGGGACATCAAATATAAGACCGTCCGCTGGAGCTTCGTGGAATCTTTAGAGCCCTCCCATGTTGTTCAAGTTCGCTGTTCAAGTATGAAGAACCAGGGCAATGTGTACGGCCAGATCACCGTACGCATGCACACCAGGCAGACTCTGGCCATCTATGACCGGTTTGGCCAGTGATGTATGGACAGGAAGATGTACCCAAGGATGTCCTGGAGTATGTTGTATTCGAAAAGCAGTTGACAAACCCATATGGAAGTTGGAGAATGCATAGCAAGATCGTTCCCCCATGGGCACCCCCTAAGCAGCCCATCCTTAAGACGGTGATGATCCCTGGCCCTCAGCTGAAACCAGAAGAATATGAAGAGGCACAAGGAGAGGCCCAGAAGCCTCAGCTAGCCTGATGACAAAAATGACTTCTGGGGTGAAGCCTGGGTGATGAGGCTGCTGGAAGCTTTGAAGTCTCCCATTCCCATCATGCTACAGAAAGAACTACCTTTGTTCTCTCTCATCCTGCTCAGGTCTTTTCAGTAGTCTCATCCTCAGCAACCATGGCTGATGGCTGGGCCCTAGCAGGTGGCAGGTATAACATGGCCATGTACACTCTTCTTTTTTAAATTTTATGTCAAGCTTCTGAGTCTAGATGAAAGACAGTATGTTTCAGAGAACATTGGATACCAGTTTTTTCCACAGCAGGGTCTGTGAGAGAGAACCAGCAGCATCCTCTTTGTAATCACAGGGCAGGGATCAGAGTTTGAAATAAAA